GTCAGCAACAATTTAGCATTATCTCTTTTAATTAAAAGTTATTTATATTTATGTCTGTGGCTTTATGAACAAGATAAGAAAAGCCGAGATCAGTCTGTAACCTATTAAACAGCGTAAATAACTAGGTTACTTCGTCTATCTTGCGTATAAATCACGTGTTTCCAGAATCACGGCTCATAAAATACTTTACATGATGTTCGAGCTAGTTATTAGTAGCGGACCACTTCTGCTGGCGATATGTCACTGCCGTGAAGTGGTCAAAATTGTAAAAGTTTCAAAACTCCTCGAGCTGTCAATTGTTCTTCAGGTCATTACCGTCGGTATCGATATATAGAAACCAGTCAACTGAATCAAAATATGGCATGGACCAACCTGATAGATAGGGTCAACAGGTTGGTTCTTGAACTTTGAGTGTCGATACGAATTGTTTTCTGTTTGTGTGTTGTATGGCGGATGATCAGAGGAAATTTTCCGCTCCGATAATTGCATAAAGGAGCAAGCATAGTATCGTAAAAGGAAGTATATAAGAATATATGTATTAATTTTATAATATACTATGCATGCATTGTTGTATTTTTCAAATGCTTCTGACCAGTAAATACTATACCGAAATAGATACTGAATGTGTTCTCTGGCATTCGTTGGATATCCACAATTGGACGTTACTACATTATATAAATGAAATGTAATGCAGGTATCGATTTCATACGTTTAGTCAAAGAAATAGAAATTCAGCCGCTAGAGAGATTGCGTGGCGGCGCTGTTGACGAGAGAGGACGTCTTCTGATTTCGTGCAGCTTTTAGTGGTTTTAGTGGTATTTTGGTGTTGGTAACCTATGTTTAATGCGATATTTGAAAGACCTTTATCAAGTGTACCCATCTGAAGCCCAACTGATTGGTTTTTAAGACTTTTACCCTTCAAATTGGAACTTTTATTCCCCTAAGTCGGAGCCAACTCATCCGCCATTTTGGACTCTCGGGATACCAATTCTACATTGAATGAACTCTTCTTCATGATACATTTTAGGGAATAGACTCAATTATAAACCCCCTACTGAACTTTTAAATCGACCCTTCATTGAAGTGCATTGCTTGCTCACTGCTTGAGATACAGCATATATGTGACACTGAACTTCACCTATGATATCTTGTCCAACTCGGCGGTTTTACATCTCTCAGTCTCATTGATGAACTTTTAATTGTATTTATACTGTGTTTTACTGTGCTCTTACTGACATTTATCTTCCGTACCGATTTTCTCTGGGCAACTTTTACCTAATATTGCCATTTTATTGTAGCGGGATCTCGCAAGATTTTATAAGAGCGAAGCTCTTTAATGGTAACACATGCGTGCGTAAACAGAGTTGCTTCCCCTTTCTACACCTTGCCTTTAAATGTTTTCGTCCGGAAGTAGACGTCCAGTGGGAAAACCGGACGTGTATCTTTGAGGCAAAGACAATTGTGTTTCATCCCATACATGAGCATCTTCATATAGTGAAAATAATACCCATGTGTTATTACTTGTTTATTTAGATAAAAACTAATATACATTCTGAGTGAAAAAAAAGCACAAAAAGTAAAAACGCGGATGTTTTCTGAAGATCCTTTTTGTAATCAACCAGAATCTGTTAACATTTCTACCGGGAGATATATTCAAAAAGAGCCGCATTAAACCAATAGTCTCTTTCACATTAACTGCGGTCCTACTATCTCGACATGCGCATAACCACTTCCGCGAGTACGTTCTTGGTAACCACAGACGCAAGAAATGGTACGATCTTGTGTTGTTTTCAAGTGTTTCAACAGAACTGATGCTTGTGGCAAGGAGCAGGGAATATTTTTTTTTCGTTTTCCCGAAGACAAGAAAAAACTTTAAGCATGGATAAAGGCTGTAAACCGTGACAAGTGGACTCCAACGAATGACAGCTACATTTGCTCCACACATTTCGAGGGAGGGTGGCACAGTTATGATTATGAGGACGTCAATTATCGGCCAGCAATATTTTAATATAAAGAGAAACGATCGACACCAACAGAAAAAGCTAGGGAACAGAGGGTATATAAAAGAAAACTTGAACAGGTGCACAAACATAGATGTGGTGTTGTATTAAAATAATGTACATATATATGTATCTTAAACTCAAACATTTTTTTAAATCATATTGACCCAAAAGTATCAAAGATCAAGTAATTTATTTTAAGGTCTGCATGGATGTATAAAAAGACATTACATATTTTCAGGTAGAATACATGTACTACATTATGACGTTTGTAAGGAAAATATCTGTCACATGATTTTATTTTTTCATTAAAATCAATAACTTGAACTATCAAACATAACATCCACTTATCAAGAAGAAAGGGGTATAGAAATACACAAAAATAAGATAAATTAAAAAAAATAGAAACTAAATTGTTTTTGTTTTGTTTATCAAAAATAGAGAGTTTCATTTATACTTGCATGCATTAACACAGAATCTAGTGTGATTCTTAATACACATCTTGTACCATGTGTACTGAATAAAATTTATATACATGTACATTGTAAATATAAATTGTAGGAATTTGTTGAAGCAGAGAAGGCAAAGAAATACACAGAGGATCAACATAAAATGTTTTATGTCTTTACACACTCCTATTGTGAAGTATCATCACCTGAGCATGCAAAAACTGCTCATATGGAATTTGAAACAACAGATGATTCAGACATTATTTCATTCCAAGACAGCTTATTGCTAGTTAAGAATAATGTACATATTCCTTTAGCTGAATTTTATGATGCCCACTCCCAGATGCACTGTACATTTAATCATTTTCTTCACGTTTTATTAGGATCTACTTCAGTATTTGAAATCTGAACCAATTTTACAAATAAACAATTTATTTATGGTATTTGCAAATGATTGAATTGATCAAATGATTTAAATATATCATCAATTCCTATTTGTGTCAAACCATAGACTTTATGATAAAATTTGCACATGTATATATGATACTGTATGCTACTTCAAGGTTTAGCAAGTACAAAAAAAGGGGGGGAAATTGAAGGACTAGTCAGCTTGGTCTCAAAATAGTGTGTCAGAATTTGAGTGCCATGTCTGTTTACTTTCAACTAATGTAATTATTAATTGAGGGAAAATTGAGTTGCCAGTATCAATTAAAGTACCAATTAATACGCAGTACAATTTCCAATGACAATAATAAGGAAACAGTATTTGAGTGGTGGCGGTTGATTTTTACCCTTGTATAAATTAGGTTGTTAATATTCAGAATGCCAAACTGAACCTCTTTCTTGACTTGATCGAAGAAAACAAAATACTGAAGGAAGAGCTTCAAAGGTACAAGGAACAGCTGCTTAAATCAAGATGGAGTACAGAGCAGATAAAAGACAATGATACAAGCACCAAATTCTACACTGGATTGCCAACTTTTGCAGTTTTCCTTTGGCTTTTTAGGTACAAATTGTCGTAATAAAAGTTGGTACAAAAATTTGGTAAAAAGTCAAATAATAAATGATTGGGGTTGGCGCTACTCTGCTGTATGGAAATCCTACATTGTATGATGCTGTCAACATAGAACAAATCTTGATTTTTTTTTAAATATTGTATTTATTTACCTAACTGCAATAAAAGGTTAATCCGAGGTCAACACCAGTGTATGATTAGAGTTTTGGTCATGCAATGCCTAATAATCCCCCTTTTTTCCAGAGATAAGCATGGTTTTATAATTGTGCTTTGTAACCTTAATATAATCATCTCTACAAAGATGTAAAAAGGGAGAAATTAAACCATTATTATCATATTACAGGTTTCTTAGACCAAAAACTGAACGTATGACCTATTGGAGTGGAGGTAAAAGTCAGAACCAGCCTGACAGAACAAGGTCCAGCACAGGGTCATTTTAGATTTGGTATCTCAGCAGGAACTTTCTCTAAATATTTTTCCACTTGGATTTCCCTCTTACATTGTGAACTTAAAGTGTTAAATCATTTCCCTAGTCGCCAAGATGTTGACAGAACAATGCCAGACATATTCAAGAAAATATATCCTTCTGTTCGAACAATCATTGACTGCACTGAAATATTTGTACAAAGATCAAGCAGCCTTTTAAATCAAAGTATAACTTTCTCCAATTACAAACATCACAACACATTAAAATTTTTAATTGGTATCACTCCATCAGGCATTATATCATTTGTGTCTGAAGGATGGGGTGGTAGAGTTTCAGACAGACAAATTACCATTGAATCTGGAATCTTAGATTTGTTGCAAGAGAATGACAGTATAATGGCAGATAAAGGGTTGACAATTAGAGACCTTCTTTAAAAAAAAAAGGTTGTACACTAAACATTCCTCCATTCAAAGATGTTGCAGCACAGTTTTCCACAGCTGAGGTTTTTGAAACACAAGAAATAGCAAGATTGCGTATACATGTTCAAAGATCTATTGGACGTGTGAAATTTTTTCACATTTTTGATGGTGTTCTGCCACTTTCATTAGCACCACAGGCATCCAAAATCTTTCAAGTAGCTTGTTGGTTAACCAATTTTGACGTACCTTTAGTATCATGATAATATTCAAAATACCTGGAGACTTCTAGAACATTACATAATAGTTTGCTTTCGAGCATGACACCCCCTATATGAGCAGATGAAAGAAATTGTCCCCCCCCCACCACCACCACCACCACCACCACAAATTCATTACTCATTTTCTTATTGTCATATATTGTTCCTTTTAATTACATTTATCAGATTATAGTTAAGTACTATTCTATATATAACATATATCGATTACACATATGAATAAACATGAATATTTCAGAGCTTTCTATTAATACATGTGTAACTATCAATGAATTATCTCCCTTGCCAACATTGATTTGGAGTGCTTTCTTTGTGAATAAGCAGATCTGATTAAAAATGTTAAGAAGAAATTCAAAAACACACAAAAGACATTTATAATTTTTTTTAATATTTTAACAAAAATGATTTTTTCCCAAACATTATTCAGCCGAACTTCACCAAAATATAATATTGCACATCTACGTTGTTGACGAACAGACAGATGGACAAAGTGATAACTATAGGACTCCGCATCTCTCGATGCGGGCCCTAATTAATATTAAATTTAAAATTCTATGAAGTGCTGTCCCTAGAGAGTAACATTGGTAATACATGATCAACATAATTTCACAAGTTTGGGCATCATGTTAGTGACAAAGATAGCATCAAACATAATTCGCTCAATACATATGTTATTCATTTTTGCCCCAGTCCACACAACAAAGTCACACCATGGTAAACCCATAACAGCCATTTCCCCTTGCACCTGAGCATAATACATATGGTCTCTCTTAAGAGCTGGTCCAGAGTCGGTCTCTCCTAAACAAAAAGAGGGCTCCTGGAGATCCAAAATGGCTTGAATTTCCATTTCATTTACCAGCTTTTTTTTCAAGGAAAAGGGACATTTCAACTCCAGTATTCCTTCTTCCCCATCATCTGAAACACGCCAATCACTAGGTGCACCGAAAAATGTGTGGCTGCTGTAAAGTGTAAGACCTGTTTCCTTCACATTAAATTCAGATGCAGTAGCCTCTTTCATCATCAGGTAATCAGTAATGGCGTCTTTCTCGTGATCTACACCCCAATGTACAGCAACTGGCAAAGATGTGTACCTGTATGATTGAAATAACATTTGACCTTATTATGACACATTGTGTGATTTCATTATTGTAATTAATTAATTTCCTTTAAAAGTTATGAACCTTCCAGACAAATGTTTAAAGGTAGAATATGTACACCTATTGCTATTAATAATTGCAATCTAATTAATATTTTATCTCACATATTGCAACAGAGAAATGTAAGCATATTTCTTTAAAAGTTGCAGGGGAGATAATTTGTTACCAGTTTGACTTTTCTCACACTATACTGACCTTGTTCTAGTAATTTAGGAGGAGATAATTCTTAAAATTTCAAGCACTGCAAGGTCCTTAAATATGTGACGCTTACTCGCATAATTTAGTGAAAATGTAGGATTTGAACATAAAAAAGGGAAAAATTGTTTTTAAATATTAAACCTGCATCAAATTTTGTCGACCACTCATTGAAAAATGATTTTCATGAATGAAACTAATAATTGAAACGTTTCTCTCTCCCTTTTTTACCAATCAAAAATGTAAAGAAGTAGAAATCAAATTGGTTGGTCTGTGCTAAAAGATTAAGTTAAAATACCTGTCAAGGGAAGATCCTTCAATGATTTGCTTAATCAAATTGTTAGGATTGCTACCAGCTGTCAGAACCTGTCCAAACAAAGAGCTAGTTAGTCTGCCTTTGTGAAGATTAAGCCACATTGCTGACTTTCTTTGACCTAATGTTGACTCCTCTCTATAAGTCACTAACTCCTCATCTATAGAGAGAACAGGAACTGAAAAATAATATAATTTTTTTTATAATATCATTATGTACTAGTATTCACAAAGTAGAAATGGGTGGTGTCTGCATGAGTTCAAGCTATCAAGATTTAACTATTGAAATGCATTGAATTTGTTAAAAAAAAAAACAGTTATAGTTGATGTATGGGATTTATTGACTTTGTTGATTTGCACATCTGCAGACTGTTAGGACAATTCTCCATGCAAGTGTATTTTGCTAGATGTTGAATAAAGAACAACAATCAAAGGGTTGTCCAAACAAAAATGCACATGATATAATACTGCACATGTTTCTTGATCATTTTTTTTTCTTATTCCCACATCTCTCAAAATACAACAGCTGTGCAAACTAGATATTTGTACTTTATGCTTTATACCATGATTGACTGCAAACACTAACATTTGTATCTGTTGTACATTTGGTCAACTTCTGTCTCAACAACTTCTTCATGTGCAAGATCTGGTACTTCATCTGGAATATTCCATAAGTGACTCATTCCTAAAATGTAAAAAAGTAATGTTTACATTAACGATTCCTCCTGATAAGGCCAACAAAATATGTGTTTACGTAACATACTGTAGTGTTGAAACTGATTGAATGGAATTTCATAATTGATTTTTTTTTATAGCTTTTATTTTAAAATTTAAACTGCAAATTAAATATTTAAATTAAAAGATACAATTAATTGTATGGTCAAAAATGAAAGACAATTACATGTATTAGTCCTTGTATGTTTATCATAGAGTTAATGATATGAAATATTAAATAAATTAATAAATTACTTTTTTAAATCAGGACAATTGATTGTTTATATAAACCTTCAGAAATACATCAACTAAGAATGACCACAAGAATCAAGATTGATACCATATGCAAGTTTATCATAAATGTTTACAAACCTGTGTTCGGGAAGATTTTCTTCAATTCCTTCAGCTCAGCCAGGGTATCAGAAATGTCATATACTCTGTCCTTTGGATGGCGAGGATCATAGTCTACTGATCGGACTTTTGGATCTTCAACAAGCTTTGGTTTGTTAAAACATAATGCACTAACAGGCTTTGGGATCTGTTGAGCACTCCTAGGCACAATCCAGTTGCACAACTTTGCTGTGCAGCTTTCAGCTGAGTCTCCAGCAAGTGCTTTAAGCCTGTATTTGCCATTTAATGCAAATAAAACTCCACCAATATGGCGACATGGCTGGGCTAAACTGAAAGAAGTTATATCAACATGTTATTTATGCCGAGAACGTGTTTTTTCCCCCAGATAAATACATGTAGTTACACAACATGCAGGATTGTAATTGGTAATTGGATATAAGAAAATATTTCAATAATATAGCAGAAATAAAGTATATATATAAATTTCTTTGGACTAGTATGTGTCAGTGTGTGATATTCAAATCAATAAATATATGTATATCCACAATTGCATATGCATATATACATAATCCCATAAATTATTAATCTTAACTAAGGAAGATGTTTGTACTGTGTATATAATAACATTTTCTACACTTAATAGCCAGATGATTTTGTTTTGACTGTTCAGATTATTAAAATAAGTATTACATTTTGCTATGCTAGATAACATATATTTTCATTCATCCTTAGTATAAATATATAGTCTTTCACAAAATAAATATCACTTAATATACTGTTGAGCCAAATTTCATAGTTATGTAATTTTATCAAACCTTTATAATGCAATTTTCCACCAAGAGAAGGAGCTTTATTCTTTAAAATACTTACCCAATGGGACACTGACAATAAGCATACTATACAGAGCATCTTTCATTGGTTGTCATACACAAATATACAATATATTTGTCCTTTTTCATGGAGGCTAAACACGAAGCCATGACATAAACTACTTCATCTCCAATCTGAAATAAAATTAATTCAAATTTAAAGTTTAACTTGTTATATGTTATAACTCATTGCACTCAACATTTATAAGACTTTTAGTTGTGTACCCAGTATTAATACAAAATCAAAGAAGTTTAAAAAAAAAAAAAAACTTTCTATATTGTGTACAATCATATGAAAAAACTAAAGGCTGCAGAAGAAATGTTGGAAAAATAGGGGGTTGGTTATGTTATAGCCTAACCGTTATGTACAGTAGCTGCTTGTTAAAAAAAATACAGAAAATGGGGTATTCAAATGAACAGAAACCATTTATATCACTTAAAGTAACGATTTAAACTTACCCGTGATATTTTCATGTCCTGTATGTCGCCAGCATTAAAGTGACGAACAGCCCTGTCCATCCCCTTAAAATTCTTCACCGACACTCCCTCATCACCGGCTTCAACATTGTCATGTACAGACTTCCTAGACCTTTCCACCATGAAGTTGTAAATTGCAAGGAAGGAAGGGCATGGCAATTCAGTAACTGAAACTACTGAATACCTAACCCGATTAAAAGGTGGTAGGTTTTCTGTCCCCTTTAAAACACTGACTGACGGAAATAAAGCAGTCAAATCAGTTTCTTGGCGAATCACAGGAGTAATGATGTCAATCGGTACAGAGCTTGTGATTACTTGCCCAATCAAGTCTTCTTTTCTTTTCCCCTTTGAATCTATTCCAACCTCTTCACATAATTTCTGTATTTAGGACTTCGACAATTTCTTCAAACTTTCGCAGGTCGCCATGATGGTTGCGTAGGACGCTTCAGACGACTTCATCGCTTTCATCAGCTTTTGATTTCCATTTGTTGAGAATATGAACGAAATAATTAACATTTTTGAAAGTCTGGTTATAGTCTTTACATAATTTATGTAAGCATCACCACTCATAAAAGAAACAATGGATAATTAATTTATTTCGAGATCAACAATAATTGTCCAGACAACGAACCCTTTTTCAGCAACGTATTTCTTTTTCACAACGCATGCCGATTTATAACTAGTTACAGACAGAAACTGTTTAATTTTATTTGGCATCATTACCTGTCAAACCCCAGTGACAGTTACAAAAATTTGAAATTCAATCCGGTGTTTCAGGATGGAACAGGAATTCTAAATATCGATATAACGACGATCCCAGTTACATCAAAGTATTACAATGTTTTCTTTTGTATTATTTCAAATTTTTTAACTAACATCTCTATTCATTTACTTTTATAGACTTATCGTCAAATATGTAATATGCACTTTTTTCTATAGCAATTATAACAGTTTTTTCCTACCGTATTTCAATCATTCTATTTGTGACCTGACGGAAGCACGCAGAGGATTTAATTCTTAATTTGGGAGGAAGCCGGAATATCCGGAGAAAACCCGCGTGGTCGGGCAGGTAACCGGGATTGAATCCGGCCATCTTGGTGAAGACGAGCGCACTATCCACTGCGCCACCCGACCCATCATATACGTTGCGCACAAGAACAAATATCTACTTTAGCTTTGAAAATGACGTCATTGATGCAAAAAGTATATTGTGACTACATTTTTACCAATCATCAACGATACAAAAATCTACATACGGGAGACCGGGGCAAGTTAGGTCACCCCTGATATTTTTGCTTTTCAGCTAATATTTGCTACTTTAAAGATCTAAATATTCTTAGCAGTTTAGTTGCCTGGGCATTCACACGAAAAAATGGCGAGGAAAACTATAATGTAAAATTACTAAACAGGAGAAAATTAATTTTGAGAGGATAGAAAGAAAATCATGATTTCGCTTCCAATAATGCGAACTTTCTATAAACGGAATTGCTATTATTTTACGGTCAAACGTGTAACACACTGACAGCTTCAAATGATATACATAAAAGCAAAGCCAAGACTTCACTACCATATTGCTGTACGATAAGAATTTATTGAAATATCAATTTGGGCATGGACAGTTTCGGCCAATGATACCGTGGCAAGTTCGGCCATTGTAACACATAAAAAGTCGTAAAATTGGCGGTAAAATCTGACATTGCATGATTTATAACGTCATAATTAAGCTGATTCCAATGGGGCCGAACTTACCCGAATGCCTGTCCGAACTAATCCCATTGCGGGCCGTGTTTGGCCATCCGATCATCCGACAGGGAAAATTAAATAAAAGGAGACGTGCTACCATACTTCCCAGAACGGACTTTAATAAAAATGGGCCGAATTTGCCCCGATCCCCCCCTATTGTTATGTCGGTCTTAATCTCATTAGAGTTTATGTTTTATTGTTATCCCTCGACTAGCCGACTTTAAATAAATTGTATCTTGCCTCATTCTGAAAGCAGTATTAGCTCATTCAGAATCAGTAAATATAAGAGATCAACAAAAGCTTCGCTCTTTTAAGGCTTTGACATTTCATATTATGTTCTCATCTTTTCAAGATGGCGGCCCCCATCAACAACAATTCAATTGCCCAATCTCGGAGGAAATCGCCCCTACATCAGTTCAAACAGACACAGTAACGCGTTGTAATACCACCCGACATAACTACACACTCGATTGTAATAAGGCCCTACAAAACAAAAGGAAAGGATGTGACAGAACATTCATAAACATCATTCCCAAAGATGGAGGCCAACGACTTAAGATTGAATGCAGCAGAGGCTGCTATGAATTTTTAAAGGCGGAGATTATAAAGACTACCAAGTCAAACAGGATATGCGAACGCTATAACATAGTCCTCACCCATGAAGAAATTATTGACCAAGTTAGAAAAAACCCGGACCATATAGTCCGTGCCTACAATAGACTCAATCCTGGTGGATCAGGAAAGCGTCAAAAATTTGCAATAAACATGTATCACACCCAATCCTCCCTACTAATCAATGGTCGACACGTTGCCCTCTTACAGGAAGACATCCTACCAGACATTCTGCATGTAATTCATTCCCAACCCAGCATGGATGGTCTAGACAGAAGGATGGCAGATCTTATCGATAGATGTATGAAGAAAAGTGTAGATGCACCGGATGCCTGCACCAGCATGCTACAGATAGAAGACATGATCGTCCATGATACTCTGCCCTCACAGATAGATCAGACCGAACCATCTCTAGCGGAGGATATAGATACGTGTATCCACTGTAATGTCTATGTAGACTCCGAGGGCATTGAATGCGACATCTGTCATCATTGGTATCATTACTACTGCCAACGTATAGACACCGACTTATCAGAATTGTATAGCGGCAACCCACGCTACAGCTGTCTATCGTATAGACATCTCTCCTTCTTAGATACTTCACTTACACTCCGACCCCAGCCACATATAAACACTTCCATCCTTCAACAAGAATGTGAGTACCTCCGACATGATGAATTCCCTTTCGACACAGCAGAAACCCATGGCGAGCAAGAGCATATAACCACAGGACACAGAATTCCGGCTTCAAACCCTGCTGACTTCGATAACTCCAACACATCACCAAAAGATGGTTATGAGGCCTCTGTGCAACCAGAGTGTGAAGCTAAGGAGTTACAACAGCCTCTCTACACATACTGGTATTACTTCTAACGACAAACAACTCCCCACGCATTGTCTCGGACCTCAGCGGAAAGAGTCAAAATAAAACACCTCCAGCCCGACAAAAATGTAATGACCCAACACTGGAGAGAAGGAAGAAGGCAAACAAAGGGATAAGCAACAACCGAGCAGATCTGCAGGAACAGCTTGAACACTTTACGAGTGTTATCATCTACTTGGAAAGGAAAATAAACAAGCTTGAACAAACCAACAACTTGTTACAACAAAATGTTCTCCAGCCGGACATATTAAGTGACCGCCGAACACATGTATCATCACACTACTCTGGACAACATCATGAATTAGACAACATGAACATTCTCCAAGTAGAAAACATGCAAAGGAACCTACAAATGCAGCAGCAACAAATCAAACAGAGCATGCCCAGTGCTACCATACCTCCCGGCTTCATGATCCCGCTAGCCCCTAACGGCCTCCCAGTAATGCAACCTACTGCTCAACCATTTCCTCTACCACCTTCACAACCGATCCACCTGCGACCTTGCCAACAACAGCCACATTCCCAAAACTTGAGGAACCAAGGATTTGTGACTCCGACACAGTGTTTTCAACCTCATACAAACAACCAACACGCAGGGAATCACGGCGCGGCAACTTTGGACAACAAGGACAAACTTTAGGCCTTCAATGACCGAAGACCTAGTACTGCTAACAAAGCTTCAGCATACGACAGCACACGGGGACCATGGAGAAGACCACAAGAACCCAGAGTGAGATTCGCGCATCAATCTAACGACTTCCGCCCTAAGAAACTCCTAAGTCTGCTTGATCTGGCTAAAGGGAACCCTCTGCGAAAATCTGACATCTCCCCGAACAAAAGGAAACTGGATCTATTGAATAGTGCCCCAGCTATGCACTCCACGCCGCACAAACGGAAGGTTAGCACACCTGAGGTTAACGGAAATGGTCTGGCTACCGGATCGCTTCATGATGTAGTTCCTGCCCCGAACCAAAGCGAGATATCAAGCCCTGATCGCTTCATCTTCTCAGACATAGAGAACACCAAGGAACAGGTAACTAACGAACACCAAAATAACCAACTGTCTTTTTTTGTCCCAAGGCAGAGCATCGGAGCAAAGAGGACGGAACCCTTAATGTGAAAAACGTCAAGGGTTACAGGACCTCCGTTGAGGAACTTCTTCAAAACCATATGGTGTAGTGTGCCTGCAAGAGCATTGGCTATACGACTTTGATATCTCGCTGATGAATGACCTTTCTACAAAACATGAAGCCTCGGAAAAGCTGTTGATAAACCCCCAATACCCCCTACAAGTACCGCGGGGATATAGAGGCACTGCCATACTCTACAGTAATGATTGAGACATAGAAACAACAGCACATCTGGATGGTGGTGACAGAATCACAGTTATCGAATTGGGTACGGATCTCAAAATTTGTATTATTAATGCCTACCTACCCTCAAGGGGAAACAACTCCAGAGCAGACTTCATTCAAATACTGGATGAGGTGCGTGAGGTCGTACTTAAATTCACTGGAACGCATGCAGTATTACTCTGTGGAGACATGAACTCCTCACTACGGAGAACCCCAAGTAATGACAGACAGACAGACAGACAGACATTCTTTATTTCCTCCTTTAGGAGATTTCATATGTCAAAACAGTTTTACAAAATGTATTTTAATTTAAATATAAACATAGTTTTGAGAAGTAAATGTATTAAATAATGACGTATTTGACATTCATATAACTGCATTATATAATTCATAATACAAAATGTTCACTTCAATATCTATTCCTCATACAACTTTTACATAGATACGTATACACTTATATATACATCAATAGGTTAATTATAGAGAACTCTCACATAACATTCCTTTGATATTTCCAGCCATATTTATCA